CCCCTTCAGTGAATTCACCCGTATTAGACGGACAGCTGAGGGTGACAATGTAGCAATAGAGGCGGGCCAGCCCATGTGGGCCCATGGCAACAATTGTACCATGGTAGACGAGTGGGCTGCAGGGTTGTGTGTACCTGTTGCAAACGGATGGGCCGGTGGTATATAGTGTAGATGGTAGTATAGGAATGTACTATATAGGATATCTATGTAAATAGTAGTGAATGCAATGAGCTATAGAGACGAAGTGGGCCGGCTGAATGGTGTGCAATGTAAATGAGTGGGCCAGGGAGATGGGTATGATGGGGACGAGTGGGCCGGGGGTATGAAGTGCAATGGAGACGGGTGGGCCGGTATGCAAAGTACAATAGAGACGGGTGGGCTGGGATGAGAAGTACAATTGAAGACGAGTGGGCTGGGGTATGGGGTGCAATGGAGACGGGTGGGCCGGTATGCGAAGTACAATAGAGACGGGTGGGCTGGGATGAGAAGTACAATTGAAGACGAGTGGGCCGGGGGTAAGGGTGCAATGGAGACGAGTGGGCCGGTATGTGAAGCACAATGGAAGACGAGTGGGCCGGGGGTATGGGGTATAATGGAAGACAAGTGGGCCAGGGGTAAGGGTGCAATGGAGACAGTGGGCCGGTATGTGAAGCAATGGAGACAAGTGGGCCGGTATGTGAAGCACAATGGAAGACAAGTGAGCCAGGGGTATGGGGTATAATGGAAGACAGTGAGCCGGGGGTATGGGGTATAATGGAAGACGAGTGGGCCGGGGGTACCGGGTGAAATGGAGACAGGTGGGCCTCATGATATTCCACCCGGTGGACAATGGAAATATTTGCCGGTATGGATGATACAGATGAGCCGGAAGAGCGTTGTGGGACAGAGGTGAAGGTGAGATGGATGATACAGATGAGCCGGGCGTCCGGTGTGCGAGAGGTGAAGGCGAGATGGATGATACAGATGAGCCGGATGTCCGCTGCGTGATAGAGGTGCAGGTGAGATGGATGATACAGATGAGCCGGAAGAGCGTTGTGGGATGGAGGGGGTATCTGGTGCATACAGAGTATACTAACCGGAGACGAGTGGGCCGGGGGATAGGGTGAATATATGATGTGGGTGGCATGATGCCTCATCCGGTGCATACAAAGTATATTAACCGGGAATAAACATCCGGTCCGTCTCATATATACATCCGGGTCTATACCCATACAGTACGTCTATGATATCAAACGAGATTGACAAGCAATATATGTGGCCCAATACATGGAGTTGCTAAATATCTACACGGTCATATTTTGCATACTCCGTGCTCGGAGTCCCAACAAAATTGTGGATGCTGTCTCGCATGTACCATGCAGTGACAATCCTGTTGCCCTCTTCCACGTTCATGTAATGTCTCACCAGTCGACATGATGAAGCCAATATTGAGCCAGAGTCGTAGAGAAACTTGATTCCAAGGTTCATGAAATCCATGATAACCGGGCGATAAACACCAGCAGTAGTCATGATATCAAATGCTGCCGGTCGACATTTAGGATCTCTATGAGGGGGTGTCCGGCGATTGCATATGATCGATACCACATTAAAAACGGATGTCCAGCGTTGAAGATGATGGTGCATCTCGTTCAACTCATATCTGGCAGCCCATTTACCAAGCCTGACTTGAGTTTCCATTCCGGCCCAATAAAGATCAGGGTGCATGACTCGAAGTGCAGCAGAGACAACGATACCGGACCTTTGAAGGGATGCTGTAATATTGTGACCGGCAGCACCTTTCAGTGCCGCTGATACCTCCGGCGAGAAGCCATCTTCCGGGTCAAGATTCGGGAAGCCATGTTTCTACAATACTTCCAACCAGAGATTTCAATGCATGTGGACCTGACGCACCTCTCTTCCTTGCTGAAACCATGCAGGAGATATATTGATGCAACCGGGGGTGATCATTCCATCTGGACTTGTATAGAAGTTTGACCGGTGGGTCCTCCATTGAGAAATCTTGCCTGATGTGATGCTATGCTTCAACAAACCACTCATGGAATGTGTGGCACCGTGAATATCTTTCTAAGTAATGCATCCGGGTAAGATAAAAGAACAACTGGAAATGGATAAAGGATAAAGGACCAACCATCATCATAGAGGTGAGTGCTCCAGGCAAATACCAGACAATGATTCTACCGCCAGAATCAATGACAACAGATGGTGTTGTCAAGAGGTGCTCCTCTTCAGGGGGGAATTTGTTCAAAAGAACCTCTTCTCGTGTCTCACTTCGACCGGATTCATCTTTGTCCAGGGCGTCATTGTATCTAACCATGTCTATTTTAAGATGAACTTTCTGCAGGTTAGTTGACCAGAACAGACAGGTGTGCCGGAATACATACCGGCGTTAGAGTAAGCAGTGGCCATCACATAGGCTAGCTGCTCCAAAGCAATACAAGTGTCGATATCCAAGAGTCCAAGGTCCATATCCTTTACCGGTCGGTGAAGAATTGTAGATGTGAAAATCTCATGCACCAATTCACCGGCAAGGTAGGTCTGGTACAAGGCCCAGTCAAGTGGAATTGTAACCATGGCTTGCCGAAACAATTAAGTGACAGGAAAGCACCACTGTTATATCCATTGGAAAAAATAGCCCCATATTCACACGACCTGATTGCATAGACAGACTCCATTTCCATTCAGGTAAATATGACGTGATGGTATAAAAGATTGGCAGGATACCGGCGGACATTGGGTTCTACTTTACTGTGAAGTGGATGCACTGTGATCTATATGTAACCGGTCAATGAGTGCCTGTGAGGATGACACAGCCCGTGTGATTTCATCAATCGGCCCAACCAATCCGGTCAACCTATCACTTGATCGCCTAAGATTCATCATCCTTGTCTGCAACATATCCAGCAACTCTCTCCCGATCGTTGTCTGGTGGCACGGCACACCAGATCTTGAACCAATTATATCCGGCGCATTATCCGGACCACGCACAATATATGGGAGAAGACCAGTTTTCACATGATCCGGCTGTAATAAATGGTGTGAGCATCTGGTGCATCCGGTGTTAACAAGATCTTATGGACTGACAAGGTGTGAAAAGTGCCATTCAACCAAATCCATAACATCTTGGACAGATGACTTGGGCAACATATCTGAAACCCTGCAACAACCAAGTGATTCCTTCCACCAGTCATTGAAGTAGTCCGGCATGTGAGCAATGTCATAGTCATCGGATTTGTTTGAATCTGCAGAAAGGCGCAATGCCCGGATATCCTGCAAAATGGCATTGACATCCGGTCGCCGATCAACCAATGTGTGAGCAGTCATGGTTGAGAGCACATCCTTGAGAAGTTGAGGAATAGTAGCTGACAACCGGGTGATAAAACATATATTGATGAAAGGTGTTGCAAAGGTCTATGTCAGAGAAAAGGATGAGGGCATGGGAGTATCGGCATGGCTGGCTCCCTACCTCCATCTCCCATTTCATCAGGGTGTAGAACGTCTCTGCATAACCAGGTATGGCAGTGGCAAAACTCTTGTCGACATACAGGCGCATGGCCAGCATCCGGGAATTGGCATAGAATAGGGCACGAGAGATATCTGCAGCTGTGATGTGATTGCCCTTGGCGGCAATGATGACTTGGTTGGAGGGGATGAGAGTTACAGTATTGTCCATGGAGAGGAATATGAGGCTATGGTGTGACCGGCACACTGGGAATATTTACATGCCAAACACAAGGGTATATTACCTCACAGGTCTTATCAACCGGTGACCACAATTATGTAACTAACCCGGCACCGGTACTTCTATCCGAACGATCATTTCCCGCAGAGCATCCTCTGCATATGCCGCTAGTTGTTCAATATTATCAACCGGTAATCACAATTATGCAACTAACCCGGAACTGGGACTTCTATCCCAACGATCATTTTCCGAAAAGCATCCTCTGCATGTGCTGCCAGCAGGTCATATATGTGAGATTGTCTGGCAGCATAACATGTATGTCCGGTGAGCCCTGCAGAAGTAGCATTGTGCATGTGACAGAGCCATTGCTTGGCTCTGTGGGTGAAGAAATTAATTGACCACTGCATTTCGTGTTTGACAAGAATAACCTCCTCATTCCAGCGATCGCGCAGTGCTTTTGTCCGGAGCCAATTAACCCGGTAAACTATAATTAGAACATGTGAGACCGGACGACCTCATAATCAGAAACACTAGACACACATTCAGTCATCCAGTCATTTCCTGATGTGTCTCCCTGAACATCCAAGGACCAGAACCATGAAAGAGGGTATCTCTCTGACCACGTGCATTTGGATCGGCCACCGCAGAGCTGGCTTTCAGGTCTTCTTTCTTCAAAGGAAGGTATTTCTTCAAGAGGTCGTGGTCAGGGAGTTTGGCCAGTTGCGACCGGCATTTCGAATATATACGAGCATGGAGATTGACTGCTGTTTCAACTGAGCGAACTCGAGTCCATGCCCTAGTAGTGAAGCCTGTGACTTGGCTGACCGGACAGTATTGCGGAATAAAACAGCTTTATCTCCTAAATGAACTCTAATGGCATGCAGTGCGTCATTGGCCTGACCTTCTCGGAGGGCAATTTCTTCTTTGATGAGATTGGTGAGACCTAACTCCCTGCACCTCACTGCACCAATGTTGGATGGTAGGGGTATGACAGTGAGCTCCGGTTGAAATATGGAAGCATTGTGTACGTCCAGATCAGGATTTTGATCTTCGTCAAAATCGGAGTAATCTTCACAATCATCCAGTGAGTTACAAACAGTAACCAGACAATCCGGATCATTGACATTGACTCCAACTCCGAGATAAGTAGGTGACATCTCAAGAAAGCTCGTGATCTGAGTGTGAAGCTTATCCCGGCATCGAGCCACTCTCAACAGTTGCATGTCCGTTGGGTGCATTCGCAAACTTCTCACATCCTTGCAGAGAGATATTTGCGATTCCTCTATGGTAAGACCGGTTGCAAGCCAAGTGGCGGCTCCTCGTCGACCGGAGGGTTGATGACCGGATGTTCAGGGCGATTTTGAGCCTGCAACAGGCGCAATTCCTGCTGTTTCTTTGTTGGCGCTGCACGACCTCATGATCAGACCTACCGGACAGCCAATAAAAGTGGACACTTGCCTCTTTCCAACCGGACCTCATAGATGTCCATAGCCGTAGGATCCTCTGCTCTGTTTGCATGAGCCAATGCCTCCTCTGCCTTCCAAAGAACTACCATGTCGGGGTTGGCGGTCTCGTTAAGATTATCAAAAGCAAGTTTGCTTTCCGAAGCCCCCTTGATGGCCTCTTTGAATTTTCTGGACAGAAACTTAGCTACCGGACGTGCCATCCGGACATGAATTGTATGAGCGCCGACAACACACGCACATCTGGAGGTGGGTGACTTACTTATACGAATCATTTTCATGAAATTACAATCATTCATCTGATAATCCAATACCTCCTTGCGATGGGGAGTTCCCATGCCCCTGGCCGATGGAGATATTATATTCAAAGGTGCCCAGAGGGTTTCCATAATCTCTCCGTCTATCCGGCCGGTCCCATGGATAAAATTTGATGCATACCGGACAAAGCAGTTGTCTTGATGTCCATGTACATGCCACAAACCGATTCCAGGAATGATATCCATACCTATGGGGATGGAAAGATACATGCTGGAAGCGATCCGGTCCTTCAAATACTTGTTATACTGACAATTTATGTCGTAGAATGTGATGGCTCGAGAGATTCCGTCGGTCTTATAGTTGAGAGCTTGACTTAATGCATAGTCCATGTTCATCTGCCTGATTATTCCACGTAAGAGTTGTAAGATCATCCATTGATGTGACCGGATGCAATATGTACTGACCTTTCGCCTTTCTGAAAGTCAACCATGGAATGTGGGACAAAACATCCATGCCGTGCACATGCACATCCTCCTATACCGGTGGCTTCCAGCCTTTGCCGCGAGGCGTTTGCTTGATTTACTGCCCGGTGATTATTGCAATCCGACCTTTGGACATTGTCTTGAGCAATGGCCAAATGGCTCTTGTATCTTTCATCGGAGACCATGAACCCCAGACCATCCATTAATGATACTTCATCGGATGGATTCACCGGATGCATGTGCTCGGCTTTGAAATTGCCATCCATGACCAAATACCTAGTCATGAGCCAGGAAGGTGTATCGTCAGGCTGGGCGACTGTACTGGTAGACAGGTCCAAGTTTATACCCGGTTGCGGACATGCCGGACAAAATAGGGCAAGATCACCATCCTTTGGCTGGTCATCTTTGTGGGCAAATCCATGCCACTTGTAGAGCTTGCATTGTCGCCACTGCCTGGCAGCTCTCATGAGCTCTCTATAGCGATCCTACAGATATCGTTCTTTAATGACCAGAATGTGAAGTACAGAATAAAACCCAGCTCACCGGAACCATCAGTGGAAAGATGCTAGAGGTGAGTCTGCGAATTTTGCTGTAGTAATTCATGGCCGATGTACCGCACTCGAGATTGTCTAACAGAAAGTCGTCCAAGACAGCGAATGTGAATGCAGTTTTTGGTCTGGTGAAAGACGCCGGAAACAAGCCTGCTTGAAAGAGCTGTATGTCTCGGCTGAGAGCACTGGGGCATTGGCAATAACATATGGAAAGGGAGTGAACGCCGGACTTGTCTACTACAGTTATTGCCGGACGATCTGAGTCTCTGACCGGTTGAATGAAAGGTCCTTCCGGATAATCGTCATCTATATTGTCATCGGTATCTGACCACTGAAAGAAGTCTGATGAGTCATCGGTGCTGCTGGGACATGGAGTGCCGTCGTGAGCAAGGTGAATGTGCAGGCCAACTTTAATGAGTGAAGTTTCTTGAAAAAATGATCCGGTCCATTGACTGATGCGATGGAATGGATGTCTTTGATGTTGAATTCTGCAACAGTCTGTGCAAAAGAGTGGCTCATTGAAACAGCCATGACATCTATACACCCCATCCTTCTTGCAGACTGAGCAAAGTCGGTTGGCTGGTGGGGCTTCTCTGATCATGAGTGAATTTATGTAGTCCTTGAACTTGCATTTCCATTGCCGGAGATATGCATTCTGACTCTGTATGGTCCGGTCAGACCGGGGAAATGAAGATAACTGTTGCTTGCCTGGGATTTTGGAAATTTAGGCTGGGGGATGTTACCTTGGTCAAACTCAAAGTCAGCACCTTCATAGAGCAAGTGAGGCGACCCAGATTTATGCTTTGAGGGTGATTTTATTGGTGATGATGTTACCGACTTTGTTTTCCTAGCCCATGAATCTTTCACCCAAGATGACCTCGATCCCCTGGTTGTAGTTTTTTCCTTGAGCTTATACAGCTGAGGTAATCGTTTCTTTGTAGGAGGGGTGTATGTGATTCCCTTTTGTTTGGTATTTGCCATATTGACTGGAAAGGATCGGTGTGCTGTAAACTTGATGACTGGTAGCCTAGCACATGACTTCACTGCGGTGCCTTCCATCAATTCCAGTTTCCGGGGATTTTGAACCGTCGAGATTACCACATTTTCCCTTCTTAGTCATTGAACTACCCAGTCATCAAGGGACCAATTGATCCGGTGTTGTTCAGACTCCGAATGGTTTGACCGGTCGGGATTACCACATTGTTCCTGTGATCTCACCGAAGATCTTGCAATGTCACCTGTATGGGATATATTAAGGTTGGAGTCACTGAGGTTGCCATAGTTGCATGACATCACAAACACCGTAATCCTCCCATTAACCCGAGTCGCATGGATTTCATGTTCAAGTTACATGACAATTGACTGGATAAAGTACATCGACCGGAGGTTACATTTCAATGTTTAAATACTTCTTTCTAGCCAGCATTCTGGATTGTTGGCTGTAGAACAATCATTCAGGTAATTACGAGGGTTCGGCAGCAATATATACTTCTTTCGATTAGATTATTGACGAGTCTGGCAAAGTCAATACATTGATTAAACTTTAGTCGAGGGCACTGGCATTGCAAAACATGCTCTGAGAGAACAGTTCAAACCAAATAACCAACTCTAGAGACAAACAGGCTTCTGGTTTGATCTTCAGGACACCGGCTGTTAATGTCCACATTCATGCTGGCCTTCAAAGTCATTTGTGATTATACTTACTTGAGCAAGTTGTGGAATATGATTGCACAGGGCGGTATCCAGTATTTGAGGGCTGTATGCTGCCCATATACTATATAATACAGGTCTAAGTCCATATGCTTTTACAGTTCTACATTCTATGAATCAGAAACACATAGGATGTTGAGGGATTCATACCAATGAACGAGTATTGGACAATCCTTTGTTCGGTTTGCAGTCACGTACATCGGTTATGTAACCTATTACTGTGAGATACACATGCATCCTTTCTTCTATCAAGACGTCCACTGCTCCTCAACTACTTTGCCATGCCCCGGTCCAACTCATCAGTCGATAGCCCAAAAAAGACCAAGCAGAAGAAATTAACCGATGAAGAGGTGCTGGTCTTGAAATCCCACCTAGAAGAATGGAAGGAAGCAGCTGCCAACGATAGAAAAAAGATTCTGAAGGCCGTCATAAAAGAGGCCAAGGTGCATGCCCCTGCTATGGATGACCGGTCATTGAAGAACAGGAAATATGTGAGCAGTAGAACTTTAAATTTATACATGATGACCGACTTATATCATGATGTATCAAGACGTACCGGGACTGGTTATATAACCGGAGACCTGAAAAGACTCGAGAAAAGAAAGCCAACAAGTTCGGTCAGAAATGGACTTCCCGGTCGGTCATAGAACAACTGCGCAAGGAGGAGATCATTGAAAAGACCGGAGCAATGCCAGGATCGAAGAAATTTATTGAAAGATATCAGACAACACTCACTGCAGTGGTGGCCAGTCTATCTAAAGAGGAGCTGGAGGAGGCTCAGAACACTGCGATTGAGTGGTCTGCCAAGGCTCCTCCTGCAGCTGTTCAGGCGGACTTTGCAAAGAAGAAAGCACCCGGTATGATGAAGGATCTGGCAACAAAGTTGTGGAAGCAGGCCGGTATGAGAATTTTCATATTGTCAGCATGGAAAACAGAGGAAGACGAAGTCCGGATCAATGGGTGAGTTCCGCTTCACACTCAACCGGTAAAGATATACTGATCCGGTTGAAAGAATTGACTTCAATGAAAAGTTGGAGGGGAATAGTTATACCGATACGAAGGACTGGAAGTCCATGTTATCGGAGTGGAATGCCTATGCTGGTGAAGAGTTTGGTGAGCTTCTGTTTGAAAATCTTGCGCCATTCAGTCAAGTACTTATCTGACCTGGGGTGATACCAGACGTTGACCTGAATAATGATGACGATGATAACGAAGAGGAGGTGAAGAAGAGCAGGAAGAAAGGTGGAAAGAAGGACGATTATCCTTTGGAGGTGGATAGCTATGGGCTGCCGGTCATACCGGACGTCACAGAGCTTAACCTAGAGAGCAAAAAGCGTCTTATAAGGACTTTCCTCACAAAGCACTACAGTCAGTTTCACAAATGATGCATCTGGAGAGTTGATCTGCTGACCAGCAATTTTTCAGGATTGTGCAGCCAACAACCAAAGGCGTCTGTTCCTTGGGCCTCAGTCAGGATGGCTCAGGGTGACTTTATTGCAGCCAAGTTTTTACCTACCGGCTGGAGGCTCGACGATCCATCAAAGATTCGGCTGGCTGATGCTGACCGGCTGTTAGAGTTGTGGTGTCAAAGACAGAAGGACCAGGTTCGCCCAACCTTTGAATTTAAAGGCTGGGAAGGCGATGATAAGACAATGAGAGAACCGGCAGAGATAATCTCTGGCAATGGTTCTGATGCGAGACCCAGGGTTCCAGTGAAAAAGTCCACCGGAAGGCGCACCAGGGGGGTGGAACCGGTGTCTAGTAGTGAGGATAAGGACAAGGATGATGAAGATGAGGAGAAGGACGACGATCACTATCACGATGACAACCTCCAATCACCACCACCAAAGTCAAAATCTATCAACAATCGCCCACCGGTCAAGAAATCCATACCTGTCCCACCACCACCTTCAAAGGCAAAACGGGCCAATACGGTCCGCAGCACTAGTCCGGCGTCAGAGGAGGAAGATACTCGCCTACCAGTCAAGAAATCCATACTGGTCCAACCACCACCTTCAAAGGCAAAACGGACCAATACCGTCCGCAGGGCTAGTACAGCTTCAGAGGAGGAAGATACTCGCCCACCGGTCAAGAAATCCATACTGGTCCCACCACCACCTTCAAAGTCAAAACGGACCAATACCGTCCGCAGGGCTAGTACAGCTTCAGAGGAGGAAGATACTCGCCAACCGGTCAAGAAATCCATACCGGTCCCACCACCACCTTCAAAGGCCAAGCGGACCAATACCGTTCGCAGGGCTAGTACAGCTTCAGAGGAAGATACTCGCCCACCGGTCAAGAAATCCATACCTGTCCCACAACCAACTTCAAAGGCCAAGCGGACCAATACCGTCCGCAGCACTCGTCCGGCTTCAGAGGAGGAAGATACTCGCCCACCGGTCAAGAGATCCATACCGGTCCTACCACCACCTAAATTAAAATCATCCCAAAAGAGGGGTAGGGTTGCTCCCATTCAATCTGATTTGGAGTCGGATGGTCCGCCACCAGTCAAGAAATCAAAGCTGACTGCAAGTGGAAGGGGACAGGCAGAAGACAACACCAGCACCGGTTCTGCACAATCAACCGGTAATGATGACAATGATCCTCTGCCTTCGCAACATCTTTCTAGAAGTCGTGCATTTGGCCCTACATCAGGTGTCTATGCCAAGAATAAAACTAACAAAGCACCGGTGCACAAACCAACACCCCCTGCCCCAAGAAGGGACTCCGGCAAGAAAGCCAAAGCATCTGAAGCACAGACAACCAATCCAGAGCCAAAGCGCTCTCATAGAAGTACAAAGGCCTCTTATAAAGCTCAGTATATGCAATCGTAGTAATTTGGATCGTTGTAAGCAAGTATTCTAGTGATAGGTGTAGATAGCATTTGACTATAAATATATACTTCACGTTGAAAGTCGAGATATCGACATCAGTTGACATGCCAACAATAACTCTTGTGTACAGTCAAGAACTTGCTCTCTAGCAAAGGCTTCGTCCGGCGACATTGCATTACCAGCCCGGTCAATCTGCAACCGGTGCATTGCCTCGCGCAAATCACCTACAGCCCGTTGAATTACATATCCAACTGGATCCTGTCGACTGACGGCGACTAAGTTTAAATGATCAGAACAATCTCGGGAACAGCAAGAAGGCTTACAAGACTGATCCGGATCAACACGTACCGGATCCATCTCGAAACCCATATCTAAAGGGTGTTCTTCCGGTGAAATATTAGTCCCTTTATCAAGCGAATCATCTGCCAGATATGTGCCGAAGCCCATGTCAAGAGCCCCGTCTTCTAGTCAAATATCGTTTCAAATGAGTGTCAATTTATGAGATGTAGATTCCAGCGACATGCCTGTGTTGCCGGCCGGATCACAGAGGTCAATATCAAAGCCCAAATCAAGCACATCTTCATCATCCGGCTGTGGAGGAAATCCCAAATCCAACATCTCACCATTTGACCGGTCATCATCAGACAAGGTGGGAAATTGCATATCCAACATGTCTGATTGTTGTTGGTCGTGGTTGTCGGTCATCTGGTCATAATCTGACAAAGGAAATCCCAGGTCCAGTGACCGGTCGTCATCTGCCGGTTCAGAGTTCATCTTCAATCTTTTACCGTCTTGCAACCCATCATGGGCTGACAGGACATCTAGATCTTTAAAATTCATATCAATTGTCCTTACCATCGCTTAGCATGAGATGAACTCACATTCACCCATGCTTGAACAAACCATGAAAGGGTTGTAGTAAGTGCGCTCCTCTCTCCCTGGCTCCAAGATGCTATGAACTGGGATGCCGGATAATATCAACCGGTACGTTGTGGGAGGTGATGGTTTCTTACCTACATCCTCACTAGATACATGTAGATTATGCTGAGCAATCGCCGATGATCGCATCCTTCTTTTCTTCTGGAATGGGTCGTACAAATCCACGGACTTCATGATATCACTGGAAGAATCATGTTCTACAGAAGGCTGCGACCGGATGATGTACTCACAGGTTGGTTTGGCAACAATTGATTACTGATGACGTGTCAACAATGAGACATTTATATCTAAAAATAGACTGACAACAATGAGGCGAACAATGGACTCGGATATGTCCGAGTCGGCCCGGCTAGCCGGTGATTGAAAATTTTATAAGTGTGTTGTTTTACACGTCTCTTCCGGGTGACTTGTCCACTAGCTCTATTGTAATCGTCTCACTATCATGTCTTCTCAATCTGCTTCTGCTGCGGCTGCCAACCAGGCTCTCATCGCTCTTGTCGCCCGGCTCGATGACATGGTTCAAGATGTTCTCCGGTCGCAGTCTCAGGATGAGAAAATGGAGTTGAGCCACGAGATTGCTCGTGAAGTGGTATGTTTGTCGTCCTGTCGGTTGCCTGTATTGATACTAGGGTCCCAGAATGTCGCAATTCGTTCATATGGGAGGGACGCTTCATATGTTCCCCCTGGCCTGCTGTCACTTGCAGCTGAGATCTTTCGCGCTCAGAGGCGCACCTCACAATTGGTGGTAGTACCGGATTGGAACCATCTTGGTAACAATCAGGATATGTGCATGAAGCATCCATTGTACAGTAAGACATTGGGTCATGCACCGCCTGCTTCACCTGCAGCTACTGGTAAGGATATTCCTCCTCATGCAACCTGTACTCACACCTGTGACTGCACTAGCTCCTGCATCTGCACCTGCACCTGCACCGGTACCTACTCCTGCACCGGTACCTGCCCCACCACTGGTACCTGCCCCACCACCGGTACCTGCCCCACCACCGGTACCTGTTCCAGTACCGGCACCGGCCTCTGCACCGACACCGGCACCACGCATCAGCATTCGCATACCTAAAGATGTGCCACCCGGTGGGACAGCAACAGCCGGGACATCAACAAACCGGAAACGCCGGCTCAGCAGCCCCCCTTTGCCCCGTGTCAACCGGGCCCGGAAGCCTGCACCAAAGTCGAAGGCAATTTTGTCTGACACTGACACTACCGACAATGACAAGGCAAAGGCAAAGGGAAGGGGAAGGGGAAGGAGAAGGGGAAAGGGAAGGCAAAGGCACCGGAAGATCATGGCGATGAGGATGGCGAGGGGATCGATGTGGATGATCTTCTGGACGTTGAGGTGTGTTTGTTTCTTGAGATATTCAACGTTACTAATGCAACAAGCAGCCCCGGAAATCAACTCGTCAGGCTGTCATCGTTGTCAAAAAGAAGGGCAGTGCGTCGAAGGCAAGTCAGCGGGTTGTGATTCAGGACGATGAAGAGGATGAATTGGAGGATGAGGATGATGATACACAAGGCAGGCCAAAGGCAAGTTCATTATTTTACTTCACATTTACCGGTCTATCACTCATCACGATGCAGGCCACTGTCAGACCAGGGAAACGGCAAAAACTGGTAGGATTTGCTTGTCATAGCACAGGTGATATACAACGCTAACATTATTGAATAGTCCATGCAGCCCAAGGGCAAGGCCACCAGCAAGGGCAAAGTGCCAGAACCAGTGTGTCTTCCGGTCAATGCCATGCTTCACCATACTAATTCTCCATAGCCCCGCATTGATGAACCCCATCCGCCTTGTGATAGATGTCTGGCCAAGAATGTCGAGTGTTTCCCCCGATTGACGAAGAAAGGCGAGATCGCCTCGACTTGCTCATTGTGCTATCTGTGGAAGATGGCATGCATCCGGACTAACACAGAGAGCGCACCCACCACCTCTGCCAACACCATTACCCCCATCACCGTCACTGCACCACCTGCAGTCGCAGTAGCCACTCGCTCCAAGACCATCCGGTCCAAAGCCACCGGAGAGAAGATGAGTGGGAAATCCAAGGCGAAAGGCAAGTCTTTTGTTTCCGGTTACTTGTCCATTCTGATGTATTCTTGTAGGCAAGGATATCCGGCACCCAAGTCCTATCGAAGAGGAGGACAACGTCGATGATGTCCAGATGGTTGCTGCCGGCGGTTCTGCACAACAACCGGCCCCTTTGGCATCCGCACACGATTTCCCTCCTGATCATTGGGTGGAGCCCGGCAATGATGAGATGCCACCTTCATCACCGGCCATGGCCTCGGAGGACAATATCCGGTTCTCGCCGTTACCGGTCGTTTTCAACCATCCCTCTCCTGTCTCTCCTTCCAGACCTGGTCATTCCGCCCAATACCCTCTCTCTCATGATGAGATGGAGGCCATGTTGGCCCAAATTCGCATCGAGATGGAGGAACTGCGCACACACGATCGAATGGAAATTGACGTCCGGCATGATCACTTGGAGAATCGCATGGACATCGCCGAGGCATCTGATAGCGCCATGTCCATGCAGATTGATGACATAGGGCGGGATATGCGTGTGCAGAAGGGACTCCTTGCTGAGTGCACGGCTGAAGTAAGAGGTATTGTCAGGTATCTGAGGGAGCAAAGATCTACTCAGGTCACAGCATCAACTCCACCGGCATTTAATCCACCCCCCATGACAGCCCATGACCCATCTATCAGTGCATTTGCTCGCACTGTGACCAACAATGTGTTCACTCCGGATGTCTCTTGGATGGGTGCCCAGACCGGTGGTGATATGTTGGGTGATACTGCAGATGGATCACCGGTCGCAAGGCACAACCGGGTGCCATCCAATTCCACCATCATCCCTTCACTGACCATGAGGGAATCCGGCCCATCTGTTCCTCCGGTTGGTGCACCACCTGTGCAATCTCCTATTCTCCCGGTCGCTGGGCCATCAAATGTGCCGGCTGATGCCCAGTCCGTCTCAGCTCCTTTGCCACGCCCGCGCTTTGGACCTCTATCGCACCAAGGTCGGTCAGTGAGTGCTAGGTATCCAAGCAAGCCTTCCGGTGACGGGCCGACATAATACTAGTCTATATCATTCATGTTTTCGTATGTACTAGTTGTCTACATTGTGTTGTCAAGCTCTGGTGCTTTCAATGTTGAAGACAATGCATCATATAATCGCACAACCTGCATTTTAGTAGTGAGAATGTTGCTATACTGGATGGTATTTCCATCATTGTATATCACACAACGCCCTTCCGGCTCATGTGTATCATCCATTTCACTCAATCACACAGCGGACATCCGGCTCATCTGTATTATCCATCTCGCCTTCACCTCTTGCACACCGGAGGTCCGGCACATCTGTATCATCCATTTCACCTTCACCTCAATCGGACAGCCGACGTCCGGCTCATCTGTATCATACATTTCACCTTCACCTCTCGCACACCGGAAGTCCGGCTCATCTGTATCATCCATCTCACCTTCACCTCTCGCACACCGGAAGTCCGGCTCATCTGTATCATCCATCTCGCCTTCACCTCTCGCACACCGGAAGTCCGGCTCATCTGTATCATCCATCTCACCTTCACCTCTGTCCCACAACACTCTTCCGGCTCATCTGTATCATCCATCTCACCTTCACCTCTGTCCCACAACACTCTTCCAGCTCATCTGTATCATCCATACCGGCAAATATTTCCATTATCCACCGGGTGGAATATCATGAGGCCCACCTGTCTCCATTTCACCCGGTACCCCCGGCCCACTCGTCTTCCATTATACCCCATACCCCCGGCTCACTCGTCTTCCATTATACCCCATACCCCTGGCTCACTTGTCTTCCATTGTGCTTCACATACCGGCCCACTCGTCTCCATTGCACCCTTACCCCTGGCCCACTTGTCTTCCATTATACCCCATACCCCCGGCCCACTCGTCTTCCATTGTGCTTCACATACCGGCCCACTCGTCTCCATTGCACCCTTACCCCCGGCCCACTCGTCTTCAATTGTACTTCTCATCCCAGCCCACCCGTCTCTATTGTACTTTGCATACCGGCCCACCCGTCTCCATTGCACTTCATACCCCCAGCCCACTCGTCCCCATCATACCCATCTCCCTGGCCCACTCATTTACATTGCACACCATTCAGCCGGCCCACTCGTCTCTATAGCTCATTGCATTCACTACTATTTACATAGATATCCTATATAGTACATTCCTATACTACCATCTACACTATATACCACCGGCCCATCCGTTTGCAACAGGTACACACAACCCTGCAGCCCACTCGTCTACCATGGTACAATTGTTGCCATGGGCCCACATGGGCTGGCCCGCCTCTATTGCTACATTGTCACCCTCAGCTGTCCGTCTAATACGGGTATAAGTTACTGTACTATGTGCTCATCAATCATTTGCTTAGTGGTTTTATAGGATTCGAGGGCTACACGTTGCTCCTCCACGTCAATTTCATCTTCATGTGCTAGTGCACCCCAGTTCCTGGGGTCTACGCCTTTGCCCTTAGACTCGGTGTCTGTTGTTGGACGGGTGGACTCACGTTGTCCGACATTAGCCTCACGACGACCAAGTCTTCGGCGTTCAGTCTCGGTGAGGCTCTTCCTAGCCGCATTCACCACTTTTAATTGCTCAACCGTGAGCTCCCCAGATTCTTTGATCTGGTCTGCTAAGTCTTTCTTGTCACGGCGACCCTTTCGGTCCACTGTGATCCATGGACGGTCATCACCGTCGTTACTCTCTTCCAAGCTTTCACTGTCCTCATTGGCTGTCCTGAAGGTGACGTGATCAGTCGTCCCTTCAGCCAGAGTGCTCTCATTTGCATTGGCTATGTTAATGCCACTTAGGTTTACTACACTCTCCTGCTCGACTCTCTGGTCCGAGGCAGGGCTACTCACGCGTACCACATCGCTATACGAGCGGATGGGTCTCAACGCGGATGGACTCTCGGCTTCGGTCACTGGGGATCCTTCCACCGAGGTCAACGGAGATTCGGCAGGCGCTTGGGTTCCAGCTGATGGGCCAGAACCCTGTGCCGCCTTGTGAGCTAGAGTGATAATATCAACAATAAAATTTCCGTAAGCGTCTCTCACCGGTGCATTTTTTTCACTTGCGGGGGTAGAAACTGAGCTGGCTCTAGCGCGAGTGCGCGAGCGAAGATTATAGGTCATCGTGGATGTAGGTTTTGTCATCGTCACGGATCGTGGACGTGGTGGGCCAGACCAGTCAGCGGTAGTGACAAAAAGTAGGGGGGGTAAAATAAAGCTTTGTTACAAGCGAATTAAGTTAGGACTGGGGAAGGTTAAAAAATATGTGACGTTAGTCGAAGTCACAGACTTGATGTAACGGCACAACGATCAGAATAATAGAGTCTTTCGCACAATGTTAACCAGATATCAGTCCGGTAGATTGGAAAAGAGCTAAGGGGACTTTACAGCCAGGGTAGGGTTTATATACTGGTGAGTAGAGTGCCCGTGATTAAGGAAAATAGTAAAACATGAGTCGACGAAGTCAAATACATTCAAAAGCTTGGCCCGACGTGCGGCCAACTGGGTCCGGTTCTAGACTGTGGCTGATTCGATCAAGGTCACCGCCACACTGATATTCCGCTGCTGTTTTATGCTGGAAATGGGCGTGAAGTGCTCTACATCACATGGAGAAGTACATAAGTTTGGGCTATTTGTGCAGTATCGCGCCCAAGAAACGAACATAGTACGCATTCGACGCCACATGCTCCTAGCGGGTGCGATGACGATGGACAGTCCATAACCAGATAATTTCTCCAGTAGCAACGAGGCGAGGACGGTCAGCTATCGAGCTGCCTTGCTTCTTCGTTGTATCCACCACAACCTACCAATCTTGAGCCTACATGTAACAGTTTGGATTGAAAGAACTGACGTTGTGACGGCCGATAATGACAATTTTCTCAGTTCCTGATTGAAGGTGACAAGAGGACCGTGCTCGTTGATCCATTCTGCAACAGCGAGAAATGGGCTAAATGGTAACGGCATGCAGTGGACATAACAAACAATGAGTGAAATGTGAAACTGTACTTGCGAGGATGTATGAGGTGCACCCGAAGTCTCCAAATGGGAGAGGAAGATGGAAGAGGAAGATCACTCTCTGATTCGGGAATGTAAGCTTGAGCGATTAATCCTGCTACCTCAAGACAAGCTACAGCGCCGAGGCCGAGCGCGTGGGCCAGGCAGGCTGTGACATGATTAATACGCGAGAACTGAAGGAGGGAACTCAGTTGTGTTTTTCAGAAATACTCAAATGGTTTTTATTTCGTATTCTCTAGTAGCTATTAAACTATGGGGGAGGATGACTCACAGTATGGCATAAGAAGGATACTAGGCAGCGACATGCACATTGCACATACCACACCGTGATCACAATATTTGCATTCGTCGATGTTCATCGAGTACTAGGTATCGTTTACCACAAGTTCGGACAATCAATGGGTATGCCTTTATCTGCCTGGTCCTGAGACTACTGCGGCCTTCTCCCATTCGATGGACTCAGTCTCCGCGTGATAAAGTCACCGTAAACCGAGGGATTTCAGGTGGTAGACAGCCATCGATCGGGGCTTGAGAGATATTATAGGGAGTTCAGATGACAGTGTATATGTAGCAAGGAGATATATGGTGGAGTTGATCGCCTGCGAAAGAAAGGTTGAATTCGAAGTTCATCCGGTTTAAAGCGACGGAAGCAATAGCCAATCAATGGATTCTGAATGAAAGAGTAGATGTGATATGAAACAGAGTACATGTTACTACCTGATAGCAGGAATATTATGATAAATCATCGGGAGTGCTGTTAAAGGTGCTTATAGGCAGTGAATGTTGTACACGACATCGGACATATATGGGAAGCTGTTTAAACCATGTGGACCGGGTAAAGGCTTAATCTACATCTACGACGAATGACACCAATGTTATACAGTGTTCTTCACGATCCAGTCCCTAATAAATGTACTGCTCAACTTTGTCTGCTTCAACATCTCCATGTCCTCATGGTCCAGCTTTTCGCTTTCTGAAGAAATAACATCGATGACGAATGTACGAAGGGGAGGCAATGATTCGGCGGAACGTTTTTTGTCGACTGTATGAGAGTGTCAGTAGATATTTCCAGAGAACCGTTAAGATACCCACTTGACTCCGCGCCCTGTAGAGTCTCCACGCTGACCACCAGCGCCTGGATATTAGGATCCCAACCGGTAGGTCCATACACATCCCGTATGGCAACAAGTTCATACTCAAGGTCAGGACGGAAAAGTTGCAGGAAAGAGCGTGTTTTTTCAATGCGTACGGCCATTGACTCCAAGACATGCTTATTCGATTTATTCTTCAACAGCTCATCGTCTCGAGGATAAGTTCAGTCGCAGGAGCGACAGGTTGCAAGGCATTATCATACCTGTGATTCCGACAATGACCTTACTACTGGCTATCCAGGCTCCCATGCTGAGCAGGATTTTGTGTCCTGCATGCAAGTGATCGAAAGTGCCACCAAGCGCGACGACGGGGTATGATGACGGGGAGGTATCACAGCTAGGAGTGACACGTACGGAATGCTGCCGGTGAGCTTCAATGACTTTATCTGGAACGACAGACACTTGGGGAAGGGTCTCAATAGAGTCAGGGAGATGGAGTATAGGGGGGTCTTGATAATTCCGCCATGAGTATGTATGGAATGAGGAAATGAGAAGAACTCACCGCCCTGGATTCGAAAGCACATATCCATACTATTCCCCAAGTTACTTGGGAAACTTTCTGAAGGGTCCTTAAGCATGATGCTAATGTCTAGTAAAACCTTTCCCAAGTCTTGGGCTGCCTTGGTTGCTTTGACATAGACGTATGTCAAAAGCCTTTGGACATTATCCCACTGTTTTACACGGTTGGATGGCGATTCTGCTGTACGGAATAGCTGAGAAACCAAGACGATGACCAAGGCCTCTGTGGTAGCCGCGGTGACAGAGGCGATTGCTGAGCCCAGATGATGAGGAGCGGTGATGTCATGTAGATGGGCAAATAGGACAGTGCGTTTAATACTGCTCATGCTAGAAAATGCACTCGCACGATGCTCTCAAAGCAATGCCTTTGTTGTTTCTTATCCATTGGCTAATGATGGCGAACTTGAATGACACGATCGTGGTCACTGCTCTAAACGTGAGAAAGTAATTCCTATTTGATTAATATGCGTGAGAACAAATTTCTTTTTCCAACCGCACACAACGTGCACATCGTGTTAACATCGACGCTCTCAACGTTCTTAACGTTCTACTCGAGTCTTACACCTTCCTTTCTCTACCGCGCTCACCGTTCTCACTAGTTGAGACATCTGACCAGAATTGTTCCAAGTTGCACTCTATAGAGTCATCAATTAATAACAGCGGGCGGCCAGCTTCTGTTAAATAATATTTCCATGGCTTCATCGCCACAGTTCTCACTTTCTTTCTCCCTATCTTCCTCGAGCTCTGCCAATGCTCCAAAGAAGCAGAGTCCTGCTCACTTACCATTACCGTCATCAAACTTCAGCGCTGCCCCCGTACAGCGCCTTCAGGACAGCGTACAGGCTCTTCAAAGGTCTGCAAGCTTGGGTTCAAAATCAGCAAGTCCACACAATCGTTCCATATCTAATGCTGCTACTCTCAAATTGCCTCGTGGTCCCCGAGACTATCCCTTGTCATCTCCTCCGACTGTTACCACTTTTCAACTACCTCAAATCCCAATTCCAAGTACAACTCATGCAGGTGGCATTCTACCCTCCTCCTCATTCTTTCACCCTTCTAGACCAGTCCATTCTCGCCCTTCATCATCCATATCCTTGACCTCTAATGATATCCTTCCTAATTTCCATTCGGCTCCCCCCGATCAACATCCTTTATCTAGCTTGACTACCCGTATCTCTCACGAATCTGACCTGAGGAGCTATGGCGATCCTGCTTCCATAAGAGACACAAATGGTCAACTATCTAAGCGGCTAAAGCAAAGTCGTGAACCTCTACTTCCCCTTAACAACAAGCACGTCGTTGCAAGTGCTAGCGCTCCCGTTCGCACTTCCATGCACTTAGATCCTTCTTACAAGATAACTAGTACAAATCGAATGCGAACCAGTTTCGAACGCATGTTCCGCGGCCTCAGCTTCGATAGCATACGGAGATCTAGTAGTAGCCTCGGCCATACTATGAGCCCTCGCTTATCTTATGCAGAAGAGCAGCCACCTGTCGATAACTTATCACCCCCTCCACACCGTGTAAAATCTTCTCCTTCTCCGCCACTCATTCGCATTGCTTCTAGCAACTCTCGATCATTCTCTCCAACTCCAAACCATGTCTTTATATCAGTCCCTCCCGATAATCATGTGCCACTCTCTGCGATGCCCAGTGTTCCTATGCAACGCGTATACCAGCGACATCCTTCAAACAATCGATTCTTTTGCAGCGGCCGGCTGCTTACAGGTGGTGATTCTCCTTGGGCTTTCATTGCGTCTCTCACGCTCGTGCTTGGTCTATCTGGCGTCTGGTTTGGAACAACATGTGTATGGTATTGGCATAATGCAAGTCCCGCTGTCGCAGCAGTGGGAGCGTACATGACCTTGTTGACTGTATCCTGCATGCTGACTACGGTGCGTAATTAAAATCGTTCGTCATGCTACCGCCCACTCAATGAATCTGAAGGCCTGTCGTGATCCTGGCATCTTACCTCGCAATTTAGACCCAGATCCGCCATTTCCTCCTACGTCACCTTCAGATGATGCTGTCAGGCAACCTTTGCCTCGGGATCTCAAAGTACGCGATGAGAGGTGAGTAATTGGTCTCTAGTAAGCCGATGTGTGTGATGAACACATGTTTAGTGTGCATACCAAATACTGTTTGACGTGCAAAACGTATCGCCCGCCTCGCTCTAGCCATTGCAAAATGGTGCGTGGTTTTGTTATCTTCATAATGAGCTGTTACACAACTTCTGGCAGTGCGATAACTGTGTCGATGGGTGTGATCACCATTGTCAGTGGGTGAACAACTGTGTTGGACGGCGCAATTACACCTTTTTCTTTGCGTTCCTGGTGTCTGCTGTAAGTATTGTGAACCTTCTCCCGGCCAGCGTAAGAGTAATATTTTCCCAGGTGTTGACCCTATGCCTCGTAATCTGCACATCCGCCCTACACCTCTATCTTCTTACTCGCCGAAATGGTATCAAATTCAGTAGTGCGTTGAGGGAAGGCGCAGGCAGTGCTGTGGCATTCTCGTTGGCTATCACTGTTGTATGGCCAGTCACGGCCCTCCTCGTCTATCACATGAGGGTGAGCTGCAAACTCATCCTTCCATACATAATGGTTCGCTCACTGAAACATATGACGCAGCTATTATTGCTAAACATTACTACTATTGAACAAGTGGGTCGCAGACATCAATGGTGCCTGAATTTTACTGATGGTATAACACAGATCAGAAATCAAGCGCACAAATCTCTTATACCAGGTCCCGCTCCCCCCAACCCATTTTCATATGGCTCATGGCGACACAACCTCATGGAAGTGTTGTGCCGACCAGCAGGATTTTCATGGCTCGATGCTCATGCTCCTGTTACTGAAGATAAGCGGCGGATAAACCCTGGACTTGAGGATGCTTGCCCTAGGTGGGAAGAGACAGACACTAGAAGAGCCGGGGAAGCGATTTGAAATTGGAAGTACTTGCATCCCTTGCAATTCGATTTTTGACTTGCGCTGCGCTTCCAAACGTCGAGGTGACATGATATACCTTGAGTGTGAGCAAACTATCAATGGTGCGAAAGGAGGACTTTTGACCGCGGGGGTCATTATGAAAAGTTGGTTGAACGTGGATTCATGTGAACTTCTGACAGCTTGAGAACGTGGTCGCTGTCAGCATGTACGTACAACTCTGTAGAGGGGCAGTGTCAGAATTGAGTCAGCGAAGGCGCCGCCATCAGAAGTTCATGAGGACAGAGCGTAGCGTGTGTACGGTTGTAGCGCTTAGCCCCCGCGCACATGGATCTTGTGTAAAATTAGTACCTAAGGTACAAGAATAGCTAAAGGGGCGATGAGCACTCGATCGACCAACTATGTCATGCTGGCCGGAGACTGAAATTGTATCGGAGATTGAATATGATGATACGGCACTCCATGCCATCACCCTCATACTCGCATCTCAAGTCGTCAACCCCTCACGCGGGTGTACAGAAACGCAGTCAAGGTGCGAAATCAACAAAATTGTAGGCGGACGATACGTTCCACTAACAAAGTTATTCGGTTGTTCAGACATTTAGTCACCGGCTCTGTAATTCACTGTACGTATAACCTTCGGTTGTATGCCATTTCGGAGCAATTCAGGCTGGTTACAGTAGCAATTGTTATAACCGGTTGACGAATGGAACCTGCTACTGTACGAGACCCAGCAAACGAATCGCAGTCAGTGCCGCAGCAGCCGAACCCGCAATCTGCAAAGCCGTCCTCGAGAAAGACACGGCAGAAGAAACAAACAAATTCTTCGGAATCTTCGCGCCCCGCGCCGAACTCCTCTAACTCCCGCCGACCATCAGGCCGACGGAGCAACAATAACGCTACTACAGTCGAGAATCCTCAAACAACGAGCGCTGGTACGGAATTTTTCTTTCAACATTCTTCGATCGTGATCATTTACACTGCTCCATTAAGCCGCTCGGCCTGCTACTGATCAACATCAACAAGACGCTGCGCGTTTTCGAGGCATACCGCTCCCTTCCTATCCAGCTCCTCTCCATTACATGATGAATCACAATTACCACCCCATGAACCCATCCCCTTTCACCCAACAACACCCTACTGGAGGCTATGCCCCAACCGGCTCAGTTAATGGCGCGACTGGCCCTGGTATGTCGAGTCACTCTGCTCAGTACTATCCTATGCACCCGACATATCCTCCCGCTCCGCATGGCTATGCACCATATTATCCTCAACAAATGATGATGTACGGTACACCCCGTTCGAGTACGTCAGTGCCAGAACAGGCGCAGCCATCTAGCGCACCATCGCCCGTACCGGCCTCCGCTCCTGCGGTGATCGGTAAGCGGAAAAGAAAGTTGGAGCCCTCACGTAGTAAAGTGACCGTGGAGAGGGATTCGGATCAAGAAGGTCCGTCGGGAAGTGATGTTCCGGCAAAACGAAGCACTCCCCCTGCTACTACGCCGACTACGTCTGATTCGAAGAAGCGTACAAAAACACAAAGGGCATGTGATAGCTGCAGAAGTCGCAAAATAAGGTGCGGTTGAGTTCTTCCCTTGGTTTTGTCTGACTCACCCAGTATTTCTGTCAGATGCGACGTTCTTACGGATTCGGAACCTCCACTGTGTCAGCACTGCAAACAATATGGGTTTGAGTGCACATTCTTCCTGCCCATAACAGAAACGCGTTTCAAGAAAAAGAAAATGGAAGAAGAGGCCGCAGAAAAAGAAAAAGAAAAGGAGAAGTCCACGGACACTCGACGAAATACGTTGTCTCCTCAAGCTGAATCTGGGGATCTAAGAGTTTTTGGTTGGTCTTATGTACCTCGTAGTTTTTCTTTCTTTGATCTAATTTTGTTTCAGGACCGACGGCTGCTGTACATCTTCTGCATTCACAACCTATAATTTCTTCCCGGATGTACGAGTCTTATGACCAACGTTATCACCACACTTGGGAAGTATCGAAAAACGGTGACGGTGTAATCTCCGTCCAAAATGTTCCAGGGGATGAGAAACAAGTTTCTCATCCAAAGCCCATCGATTTACGACTCGAACCCGAAGTCCTTCAAAACCTTCTTAATGCTTATTTCAAAGAGATTGCTCCTCTTTTACCTGTTGTATCACAAACAGAATTCCTGGCGAATCCTTCCCCTTCTCCCATTCTCTTGTATTCGATGTGCCTGGTTGCTGCGGCAAGGAGGGAGGTACCGCAGAGTGTCTTTGACTCCATTCGATATGCGGTCAATGGTGTGATCAAGGCTGAAGATGTTTTATCTACAGCCTCTATCGCGAACGTGCAAGCCTTACTTATTCTTAGTATGGTGGGCGATAGCCATTCTC